AAGTCAGAATTGACTTGATGTCATGTAAGTCTTTTATTCTTCTGAAAAGCAAGCCAGATTTACTAGCTCCACACCCTCTGGTATATGTTCTAGGCCAAATTTTTGTGTATATACTCTGGCTAGCTGCATCATCCCCATTTAATCAATCTGTTGTTTCTCTTACTGTTCCAGGCTTTGTACATAACAGATATCAATATCTAGATTTTGTGGATGTCTTGTGACTTAGTTGCTCTTTTCCTAACTATTCACAAATGAAAAGTGAGGTCAGTTACTTCGACATTCTTGGAAGTTGCCATTCCAAACTCCTTTTTGTCATCTGTTTGTTTTTGTGTTTGTTTGTTTGTTTTTTGGCCAAGAATGGGTATCAGAATGTAGACTCTTGATGTTGTATAGCTAGTTGTATCACTCCCACCTACCGATGGTTTGCCAGTGAATTTGGTTACTTTGGCCAGCTCAGAACTTGGTATTTCCACTGACATAAGCATATGGATTCTACAACAGTTTTGTGGCTGATGTGACTAGTGAGCGTGTGGCTGCTTTGGCTTACTGAAAAGTTGCCACTCCAAGTTTTTTTCCCCCCTGGAAGACAGATTGTTTTTTTTTTCTTTGAATATTCAGTTGCAAATTAAGAATTGAATATTTCAAGAAATATTTCAAGAAATATTCAATAATCCTAGAAAATATTCAATATTCATAGGGCTTGAAACACGTATTTTGTGGAAGCTTGTAATCTCAGTCGCACCAGTGAAATTCTTTGCTTAATCCTACTTGAGTCTTACTCGGACCATGCATGGGAATACACATATTTTGCCCTAAAGGATATTTGTATGTGGTTTCTATGAAACTTTTGAGGCAGGGGTGCATCGCTGCCCTCTAGTCAAATGTGACTGGTGAATTCGGTTGATCAGTGGGCCATTGAAGTCCGTTCCTGGTGTCTTCTGGGTATCAAAGGATTACGGTATAGTGATACCACTCTGATGGCAGAAAGTGAGGAGGAATTAAGGAACCTTGTAATGAGGGTGAAAGAGCAGAGCGCAAAAAATGGTATGAAGCTCAACATCAAAAAAACTAAGATCATGGCCACTGGTCATGTGACAGATTTTACTTTCTTGGGCGCCATGATCACTGCAGATGCTGACAGCAGCCCCGAAATTAAAAGACGCCTTCTCCTTGGGAGGAAAGCTATGACAAACCTCGACAGCATCTTAAAAAGCAGAGATATCACCTTGCCGACAAAAGTCCGAATAGTCAAAGCTATGGTTTTTCCTGTAGTGATGTACGGAAGTGAGAGCTGGACCATAAAGAAAGCTGACCGCCGAAGAATTGATGCTCTTGAATTGTGGTGCTGGAAAGGCTCATGAGAGTCCCCTGGATGGCAAGGAGAACGAACCTATCCATTCTGAAGGAAATCATGCCTGAGTGCTCACTGAAAGGACAGATCGTGAAGCTGAGGCTCCAATACTTTGGCCATCTCATGAGAAGACTCCCTGGAAAAGACACGGATGTTGGGAAAGTGTGAAGGCAGGAGGAGAAGGGGATGTCAGAGGATGAGATGGTTGGACAGTGTCATCAAAGCAACCAACATGAATTTGACCCAGCTCCCGGAGGCAGTGGAAGATAGGAGGGCCTGGAGTGCTCTGCTCCATGGGGTCACAAAGAGTTGGACACGACTAAATGACTAAACAAACAAACGAATATACTGTACTATAGCCTCGCATATACTAGAAATAGTATTACAGTTTTTCAGCTCTGAAATAGTGTTCTCAGGGGTGTCCAACAGCTCCTAGTGCTATTGATATCTGTTATTAATAAGAATATGAATATGATTATTATGATAAAGGGCGATTCCATTGCGTCCGGGACGTCACTCAAAGTATAGCACCGGCGAAGCCCCATTACCCCTCCTCTCGCCTCTTTCCCTATCCCGAGTGAGATCGCCGGGATAATTTCTTTATCTTGGCGCATCGTTAAGAAGCCACCATCAGGGATGGAGGAGGGGGGAGGCGGACGGGTGGGAAGTGGCTTCCTCTCCGAGACA